CCAGAAGACGCCGGAGCCAGCTTTGGAAGGGGCTTCGAGGGACAACTGCACAGCCAGGCAGACGTTGCATGGGACTTTCCGGGAAGGGGACTTTCCAGCAGTCTGTGAGCGCAGGGCAGCCCAGAAGGAGGACCTTCCTAAACAGATCTCAGGAGGCAGAAGCTTATGTGGTGGGCAGAAGTTCCCCGGATCGGCAGGGAGGCACTCTCCAGGGCTGGGAGTTTGAAGTTCTTTTTGATAGAAAAGAGAGATCTGGCATTTATTTAGGAGGGAATACCTCCACAGCAACTTGGGTGGGAGGTGCTGGGGCTCCTGAGGGCAGGCGCTGCCTCTTCATCTTAGCAAAGGGGCAAAGGTGCAGAAGGATGTAGGTGTGGGGGCCACAGCCCTCCCTCCCGGCTAGGGGCCTGCTCCATGGACCTCAGTCTTCTCCTGTGTGAAATAGGAGTGAGAATCTTCCCACCTGGGAGTGTGCTCGTGGGGTGAGTGACTGGCTCCTATTCCTCTCTGAGGCTGGTGCCTAACATGCTGAGTCAGTACCCATGACCTGGGTCCAGGTCGCGGCCACTTCCCACTCTCTAGCAGGCCCTGAGGGCACTGTCATGGTGTGCTTATAAAAGTGATGAGGTTCCCGCACCAGAGCCCGGGAGGGAGCAGGGCAGTGGGGGAAGCACAGGCACAGACTGAAGGGGGCTGCAGCACCAGCCAGAGGGTGCTCCTTCAGTTTGGACCCGGGCTCCTTGTGGCCCTTCCCCTCACAGTCCTGGCTAAGCTGAGACTCAGCCCAGGTGTCAGTCGGGGGCTTTGATGAACTTTCCTAAAAACAGTCATTGTGGTTTGTAGGAGCACTGCTGCCCAGTTGCCCAGAGTGAGATCTGGGGATGTCCCAAAGGCACTGCAGGTTGGCACCTATGTCCTGCAGAGACCTCTGTCACTGGGCTCATGGCCAGAAGAAGTTGGGTCTCTCTTAAGTCTGACTGGAGGTAAGCAGCTCCGTGGGCTTGCAGGCTTCCTGGGTGACCTTGGGAGAGGGACAGCTTGGGGTGTACCACCTAACACCTAGCGCGGGTGGACCCTGTAGAGCCAAAGGCCTTCAGCCCAGGCAGATGCGGGCTGCAGAGGTCCCCTGGTTTCCACAGACATTTGAGTCTCTGGGAACCCCGTACAGGAGCTGGGGAAGGTTGTGTGGAGTGGTGGAGGAGTGATGATCCCTAATCACAGCAGACTTTTGGGGACTTGTGGTTTGGAACCGTCAGCTGAACTAAGGGGTGTGGAAGAGGGGTTCCTCAGTTCCCCGAGGGAAACGTCATTCCCCTGCACAGGGAGCAGGAACCCCAGAAGGAGGGCCAAGCTTGCTGGGTGCCACCCCAGGGTCTCCCATCCTTTTCCAACCTGGAGAAGTCAGGGGCAGAACTGCAGGGAGGCCTCCCAGCCCCCAGAGAGTAAAGGGGAAGGAGGAGATGCACTGGGAGATGGCCAAGGGCCCGCTACCTGGAACACAGAAAGGTGGGCTCCCTGCTGCAGTGGGAGTGGCCCCGGGAGTCTACTCAAAAGACCATCCATGCTGCCATCAGTGCCGCAGGCAGCTCAGAGCATCAAGGGACAGGCAGACGTCAGTGGTGGGAACCCGAGGTTCAGGGACTAATTCTATGAAACGGATCCACTGTGCTGACCCCCACTGCGCTGACCCCCACGTGCTTTCTTTTCCAAGAAGCCATTTACCTGCAGCCCTGCCTGGCCTCAGTGGACAGGATATGTCACATTCCTCAGTAAACTACTCTTAACTGTAGGAAAAATGTGGGCCCCAAATAGTGTGGATAAGAGGAACCCAAGTTACCCCAAAGGAGGAGACTTTTGTGACCAGATCCTGAAACTCTGAGAGACAAAGGCAGTTCCTCCTAATCATAAAATCTGTAAGAATGTACGGTTAAGAATCCAAATAGAACCTAGAGTTCCATGACAGTGGGGACCTTAGAGTCACCTTGCTGTCCTATTATTTGTCAAAAGTCAAGAGGAGGCGCTGTGCAGGGCTTTTGGAACTCCTCTGGGACGCCCAAACTGAAGTGCAGGAGAGGATCCTTGTCTCTCTCCTCTCTGAGAGCACCCATTCTCTCTCTTGAGAGTGTTCTCTTCTTTCCCCTTCAATAAATTTGTCCTGTTATTCTAAGGGACACTTAGGAAATCTTTGAGACTTGATTGGTAAGAATCAGGGTTTGAAGAGGGGTCTTTGCAGCTGCCTGTATGGCAAGCCTCCAGCTTCTCCTAAAGATCAAGCTGCCTATCAGGGTCCCCACAAGTTTCCCTGGAGACACAGCAGGGTGGCCTGGCTGGAGCATCTCCTTTCAGCAAGATCCAGGAGGCGGAGCCCTGCAGGGCAGCAGCCTGATCTGGGTAGGAATCGGTTTCGTTTCTGAGCCTGGCTCCACCTCCAACTCCACCTCCAAGGCTGGGCTGCAGAGGGACTGTCTCCCTTAGTTTTCCCGCAAGCAGGCGGGGTTTGGTGGAGCCACATAAAGCCTCCCAGCTGGACATCGCCTGCACTGTCACTGCACAGGGACAGGTGAGTGTCCAGAGAGGCGCGGGACAAGCACAGCGCATTCCTGCTGTGGACTGGCCCCCAGGGGAGCACTGCAGGGACATTGCTGCTTGCAGGGACTTTGCTGCTTGCAGGAAACAGTGATACTGACAGGAGCTGCAGGTGAGCTCAGACCCCTTTCATTCTAGTTCCCACCAACTAACTCCTGCGGAGGCTCTTGGGTGCAGTTTGGGAAACTGTCCCCTAAGTGGCAGTGGCTTTTCTGCTGGTGTTGGCGGGCAGGCACCGGGATGGGGAGTGCAGGGGTCGCAGAGGGCCTCAGGCTAAGGCTGAGCCCTGAGAAAGTTTCAGACCCAGGGCTGCTGGGGTGCGAGCCCACCCCAGCTGCTGACCATGGTCTCGGTGGGTTGTGTTTCCCCCCTAAGGAGGTGCAGCCAGCAAGGCCAAGTCCAGGAGACCCCTGGAAGGGCAGAGGAGTCCTCGGGATCCTGCAGGAGGTTCCCAGGAAGGGGTGGCAGAGACTGGCTTGTGCACAATGCCCCTGCTCCAGGTCCTCCCCAGCCGTGGACTTGGACTTGGAATCCCTGGGATCTTGGGGTCTTGGGGGTACAGAAGGGCGTCAGTGGCTGGGGCAGACTCAGGTTAGGGGTCTGACTCAGTTTGCAGAGATGCCTTGGGTGTGCCTGGAGGGGTGGAGAGTGGCAGGAGTCCTGCAGACTGATAGAGGACCCCAGGGGCCTCAGAGTCCTGTCCCCCAGGAGGTTGGTGACCACCCACTGCTCAGATGGGGTACTAGGAATGAGTGGTCACATTGTAAGTCAAGGTTTTTCCTGGGAAGCCCATCAAGTGCTGGTGGCCACTAACTGTCAGTCCCAGAGGGTTCTAGAAGAAAAACCAAAAGGGCAAGTAGCCCTGGGAGGGCTGTTTTCAGACCTAGAGTGAGCCACCTTGGGAAGGTGGCTGGTTCTCAGTGCCTTAGGCTGTCCCGAGAACTGCTGGGCAGGTGGTCTCTTTAGGCTCCTGAGGGAGGAAGGCTCTGAATCCTCCCTCTGTTCCCTGCTAGCCTTTGGGCTCTGAGCTGAAGATTCTGCCCCACATGGATGAGCCCAGCCTGCAGGCTGGATGGCCCCTCACCTGCTGTGGGCACTGTGCCCAGCAAAGCTGGAAGCTGGCACCTTGGTCTGGGAGATATGTGCAGGCTCCCACAGCCTGAAATCTGGAGTGGAGAGGCAACAGCCTCCCACCCAACCTCACAGGACATTAGGTGGCCACCAGACAGGAACCTGCCCTAGAAAGGAACACAAAGAGCCCTCAGCACCTGGACAGTGGCCCTCCCTGACCCTAAACTGTGATGACAACAGAAGTCCAGGCAAAACCCAGTCCTCTGCACAATGTGACCACAGTACCCTCGTGGGCCATGCCCAGTGGGGTCTGCAGTCGTGAGGGAGGAGAGCTAGGGAGGAGAGAGAGGGGGCCCAGCTCCCTTGCAGTCTCCCCCCAAACACAGGGTGCAGTATCTGCACCTCATGAACAAACATGGGCTGAGAGCTGCAGGTCATGGCCATAAGACTCTACCAAGACCCGTGGTGCTGGATCTGCTTGGTCCAGGTGCACACGGCAGCTGGAGGCCCAGAGCCGTGAGAGTAGAAACTGGTGGAATGACTGAGATTCCCTTTCTGTGAGTCCACGCTGATGATCAAAATGACCCTAGAAAGGTACAAAGTTTGTGGCTTGCAGAGAAAACACACAGGACTTAGCTCTCAGGAATCTCTGTAGGGAAAAACAGAGGGAGGGAGTATAAACCCAACGACTGCTTTGGTTGCTCAAAGTGAGTCCATGGTCCTGGAGAGCAGGCCAGGGACCCATGATGTCACCTGATGGTGTACTAAGGCCCACTGAGGCCGTCCTGGCCCAGTAACATGGTGATCCAGGGGACAGATGGAGGGGGTCTTCTCTGTGGAGCCAGGGACACTGTAGGAACCCAAGCTCTCAGCCCACGTTTGCTTGTGAGGTGCAGATCCTGTTTCCAAAATAGGTGGAGGGCGGTTGTCTCAAGAAGAGTTCTGTGGATGGACAGTCTCCATAAGTGACCTCTGACTCGATGGCCTTCCTTATCACCCGACTCCTACCAGACAAAAGGAGCCACCCTCCCTTTCCAGAGGGCCAGGGGTGACTAGATGCTGCCCTCGAAGCACACAATCCTGGGGGTGGGCAGAGGCTGGCTGTTCTACAGAGGCCTGGGCTGTGTTCTTTACCAAGGCCCCATCACTCAGGGCCAGGGCTTCCACCTGCACTGACTGGCACATCTCCTGTGAAGTTCAAGGTGTGACAGGAGACAAGGAAGAAGATGAGTCCTCCTCCATCAGAAGTCAATTGTGCTAATCCTGCTGCTGTGGAATCCAACCATCTCTTCCCAAATGGAGATGCTTCCACGGCAGAGAGAAATGAGGCATTGGTAAGTGGCTCTGTTCAGAGGGATGCTTTATTTTGGGAATTTTGACACAGTAACAGGAAGATGACCGTCACAGTGGGTGTGAGTCCTTCCCATCCCCACCCTAAGACTTATAACCCAGCAGGAGGGGCGTCTGGGAGGGAAACATAAGCAGGTCTGTAAGGAGAGGAGGCATCGGGTGGGCCTTCTCATTTGCCTGTGACTTCAACACTGCTGCTGACACCATTGGACAACTGTTGAGTATTGCTTGGAAATGGAGTCCACCAGAGCAGGCGACAGGCCAGCATTTCAAACCCGGAATAGCAAAGACCCCAGCCCCCCCCACCAAGGACCTGGCTTGAGCTGCCCTGACTCCTCCCCAGGGCCTCGAGAGCGAGTACTGTCGTGACTCCTCCTTAGAGCTGGGAAGCCGGACTGTGGAGGGAGGAGAACCTGTCACATCACCCGGCTGAAAGGGCCAGTGTTGGGATCCGTCTCCAGGGCGCCTCAGTCCTCACCCCATGTCTGCTTCGCCCCCAAAAGGTCTCCGTTCTACACTGTGGAGACCACGTGGCTTCCCTAGGGATGGAGTGTCCTAGTGAGACCTCCACACTGACCCGTGGTGAGACAGGGGCAGCACAGTGCGCCCTGGGTGTGGATGCCAGCCCTGTCCCTACACCAGCCCATCTGCATCCCGTGGTCTCCCAGAACAACATGGCGCCCAGCCACATTGAGATAACCCACTTGGTTGCACCTGGGCCCCAACAGAGCGTGCAAGGACCCAAATGTCCTGCTCCAGGAGGGACAAGACTGACTCAGTTCATGGTGGCAGAGGTTTCAGTTCATGACAACTTACTGTTTCCTTGAGATGTGGTGTCAGAGCACGCCAGGGAGCCTTGCCACACACGGTGCTCCCCTCAAAGGCTGGGAGACAAAAGAGAGAGGAAGTCTGGCCCCTACGTCTCCCCAGGCCTCTCCTGTTATACTACAAACTAGCTCCCAGTAATTCCAAGCTGGGAACCAAGGCTTCACCACATGTGCCTCCGGGAGACAGGTCCAAATTGTAACCTCTACTCTCCCCACCTGCCTGGGAAGCAGCTGGTCTTTTCTAGTCTGGGTGTGGGTGTACGTCTGTGAACCCACACGTCCACTTCAAGGTAAGAGTGACGGTGGTTCTCAAATGCGCCCCCGGCCACAGCATCCGCAGAGCCTGGAAGGTGTGGGAACTGTACGTACTCAGGCCCTCTGCAGCTGAGACCTGGAGAATTAGAGACGTAGCATGGGGACAGGATCAGCGTCAATGGCCCGGGGGTTGTCTCTGGCCCTCTGGAACCCTTGTGCTCCCGGAGGCCACCTGCACTGCAGTGTTTATCACTTTTCATGGAACCATCCTAGGGGAGAGTGCAGAGCAGGATGAGGTTGCCTTGTCGGAATCCCACACTGGCCATCACGTCCTGCCAAGGCACGCAACTTCTAAAAAAAAAAAAAAAGAATAGCAGCCTAATGAATCCTCCTTAAAATAGAACAGAGTCACCAGCCTGGTTCCTGCCTGCTTCTAGATGAAGGCCAGCTGTGCTGGCGGGAGACACGCTGCCCCAGCCGTCCCTGGGTCACCCACCGCCCAAGCCATGCTCATCCTGCTTCTTTTTTGGTTGGTCTAGAATCCCACGTTCCTGGGGTTTTCTGAGTGTGTTAAGGCTGTCAGAGAAGGAGGGTACAGCCCAGGGTTAGGGCTGTGCTCAGTAGAGTGGGAAGCCTTGGACTGAAACCCAGCACCAAATAAACCAACCTGCACCAGAAGCAGTGTCTCCCCACCTGGTTGGTGGGTGGTAGGAAGCTGCTGTCTAGCCCGTCTTTGATCCTCTGTAGAGGGTTTTTCAGGTGCTAGCCCTTTTAGCATTTCCTCTTTGGCCCTGTGCTACAACAAGTTGACTCTAAGGTGCATGGATGTAGTTTGTTTTGTATTTCCTGTTTTGGGGTCTTTATGAGGGTTTTGGACCTTTGGTTTATGTTTTGCATTCGATGGAGGGGTGCGTGCAGGACTTCGTCAGGTATCCCCCCTCCCCTTGGTGGGATTCCAGGGACCCTATATTACTCCTGTCCACATTGCCATCTTTGGTGGAGCGTGACCTGCACATAACAGAGTGTCCTCTTGGCCTTCTCCAGGGGTCCGAGTTCAACCTCTGCAGGCAGTATGAGGAGAAGGTGCGCCCCTGCATCGACCTCATCGACTCCCTGCGGGCCCTGGGCGTGGAGCGGGATTTGGCCCTGCCTGCCATCGCCGTCATTGGGGACCAGAGCTCGGGCAAGAGCTCTGTGCTGGAGGCTCTGTCGGGAGTGGCTCTCCCCAGGGGCAGTGGTGAGAACTCATTTCTAACTATTGTCCTCGGGCACCTGGTGGCTCCCAGAGCAGTTCTGTATTCTCCACAGTCTGGAGGCTGCAGGTGGAAGGTGAAGGTGGGTTCTCCTGAGGTCCTTCTGGGCCTGCAGGTGGCCACCTCTTCACTGTGCCCTAACCTCACGTGGCCTCTTCTCTGGGCAAGATTCCTGGGGTCTCCACGTAATTTTACAAAGATGCCAATCACATGGGTCAGGACTTTCCTGTTGTGACCCCTGATGACATCTGTCAACTCTAATTGCCTCTTCAGTGGCCCCATCTGCAAAGGCAGTCACATCGGGGTGATTGGCTCAGCCTGTGCATTTGGGGTGAAGGGCTCTCTGTCTCTTACACCGTCTGGTTGCACGCCTTTGTGGATTGTATGGGGTCTGCAGTTGGTGGAGAGTCTGAATGGATAGTGTCCCTGCCCAGAACACAGTGCACCTGGGTGTCTCTCCTGAGCTCATCCCACCAGGTTACTGGCCAGCTGGGGGGACAATGATGGGCATCTTAGAGTGATGCCTTTGACTTGCATGGACAGGGGAGCCTGTGAGAGCTCAGAGGCTGAGCTCTTAGACAGCCAGGATTCAGAGAGGGCTTATAGACGCTCCTTCTGAACGGGAATGTGTCCTGGGGGAGTAGTGAGTGGGGGGTGGCTCAGGAGCAGGGAGGGCCGCTTGCCTGTGTTTGGGAGATTGTCACCTGAGCTGAAGGCAGTACATTGGGTTGAAACCCCGAAGTGTTCATGGGTTTAGATGAATGAGAGAAAGTCACTGGGGTGACTGTTCCAAAAGCTCATGTCTGAGGTCACCACAGACGCGATGCCCCAGTGCATGAGGTCACTGCAGGGTTTTGAGTCCAGAGGCTTCTGCCTGGGCATCTCCCCTGATGATGGCATCAACCTTGTTGATCTGTGCGTGCATGGCCCCTCCAGCCTACAGAGCAGAGCAGAGGACTGACATTAGTGTGGTCTCCTAGGTATCGTCACCAGGTGCCCTCTTGTGCTGAGGATGAAGAAACTGGGGCAGGAGGATGAGTGGAGGGCCAAGGTCAGTTACCTGGACATGGAGTTGGAGCTCTCAGAGGCTTCCCAGGTGGAAGGGGAAATCAATAAAGGTGAGTGCCCGGGGTCTTGCCTGGACACCAGGCCCAGCTAGTGCAGAGGGTCCCCGTCTCCCCTGCCTTGGGCCTGCTCCCTCGGGAGCCCTCCCTTCACCCACCCCAGAGCTACTGCACCTCCTCTGCCTCATGTTAGGGTCACACACACGACTTGGGGACCTGGGTACTGCAGGAGCAGTGAGCTGCCTTGGCCACACATGCCGACGTCATTATTTGCAGCCATGTTCTAGACTGTAACAGACATTCCAGAGAGATGGTGTCTACCTTCAGAAGCACCAGGTGGCCCTCAGGAACCTTCTCCCATTCTAAATGTGTCAATACCGAGAGGGGTCCAGAGAAAAGCAGGCTCCTAACAGAACTCACCGGTTCCTAGTGCCCTAACAAGTTCCCATCTCTGGTCTGGGTCCCCTGGTGTCCTCACCTTCCTCTCTGTGACTCTCCTCCCACACCCAGGGGAGGGTCACGGCATGCCATCAGGAAGGGTTCCAGGCTGGCCCAGTGGAGATGTCCCAGGTCCCTCTATAGACAGTCCTGGGCACAGCAGGGAAAGTACCGAGTCACCTCTTGAGGAAACATGGGGTCCAATCTCCAAAGGGGAAGGGGCTCCAAACCTGCTGCCCCCCAGGACCCCCGAGCCAGAGCTGCTGTGGCAGGCTCCCTAAATGGGGCACCGCCCTTCAGCTGCACCCCGTGTCCTCTCCTCTCCACAGCCCAGAACCTCATCGCCGGGACAGGGCTGGGCATCAGCGATGAGCTCATCAGCCTGGAGGTCAGCTCCCCCAGCGTCCCGGATCTGACCCTCATCGACCTTCCTGGCATTACCAGGGTGGCTGTTGGCAATCAGCCCACTGACATCGGGCGCCAGGTGAGACTCCAGCCTCCACCTGCCTGTGCCCCGGATGAGGGGGCGCTGCATGAGTGCAGCCGGGAGTCCAGGTCCTGGTTGAAGGGGGCGTGTGGAGGCGAGTGGCAGTGGAGAGCCAGTGTCACGATCCCCAGTGGACGGAGACGACCATGCAGACAGGCAGCTCTGTCCTTCCTGCCTGTGGGAGCACAGCCTGCACTTCTGTAGCCTCCAAGAGTCCATGGTCGGGAGCTCTGGACGCTCCTTGAGCATTTCAGACATCAGAGCGTCACCTCGTCCCCTTCCTTAGAGAAGAAGGGACTTTGGGCCTCAGAATGCAGGAAGGCATCATCTCTGTGTGTTCAGCCGAGCCTTGGTTGGGTCACGGTGAAGTTTTGTGTGGCACGCACCCTGCCATCTCTTAGAGGGCTCCTAGTGGGCAGAGAGGGTGAAGGCGCAGAGGAGGTGACACATGGCCTCCGTGGCTCTCACCCCAGGAAGGAAGACTCAGGAAGTGAGTCAGGCAGTAGGTCTGGTGTCTTGCAATCCACTGGGACCCTCAGATCTGAGGCCTCAGGGACAGTAGGCAGCCACAGCCTCACAGCCTTCCCTGACCTGGGGCTCCACAGTCCGCAGGCACCGCTGCCCTGAGTCTGGCTTGGCAGAGCCACGGGGTTGTGCTCGCAGGTTCACTTGCCCACGGAGGAGGTTGCAGACACTGAGTGCCTGAGTGCAAGTGCATGGTCTGGGCCTGTCCCCTGCTTGTCCACCCCAATGTGTCTCCTGCTTGTCCAGCCCAGTGCTGGGAAGTCACAGCCTCTTTTTCCTATAGATCAAGCGACTCATCAGGAAGTATATCCAGAAGCAGGAGACCATCAACCTGGTGGTGGTCCCCAGCAACGTGGACATCGCCACCACGGAGGCACTGAGCATGGCGCAGGAGGTGGACCCTGACGGAGACAGGACCATAGGTGAGAAGCAGGGAGCCGACGGTGGGACCACATCCCTGAGTCCAGGGGAGAGGCTGGCTGGCCGAGGGTACCTGCACGTGGCTCAGGAACCCCCCCAGGTGTAGGTTCCATGTCCACTGGGTCTGGAGGAAGGGAGCCACGTTGATCCTTATTGGCCACCTCATGGCCTCCTGACCCATGTCCCTTTGGGAAGGCGCCCTGGGCTCCGAGGGTGGGCAGGAACAGGAAGGAGAAGCTCCCAGTTGAGATCTCTGGAGGGCAGCCAGGCTGGTCTGTGCATGGTGAAGGACGGACAGAACACGGCCTGTCCCTCCATGGGCCTGGGTGCAGGAGCCGGGGAAGGGCCACCCCTCTAGCATGGCCCCCTGTTTCCCTGAGGCCTTCCCTTCAAGTCTTTGTGGACTCGGACTCCAGCTTGCTCGTGGGTTCTGTAGGGGCCCTTGTCTGCTGGCCCTGGGCTGGGAGGAGGCCTGGGGGCTGGTTCTTCCCTCTGCCTTGGGACACTGCACGGTCTCTGATCCCAGTCCCTGGCTGGCAGGAATTCTGACGAAGCCCGACCTGGTGGACAAAGGCACTGAAGACACCGTGGTGGACGTGGTGAGGAACCTCGTGTGCCACCTGAAGAAGGGCTACATGATCGTCAAGTGCCGCGGCCAGCACGACATCCAGTCACGGCTGAGCCTGGCCGAGGCCCTGCAGAAGGAGAAGGCCTTCTTCGAGGACCACCCTCAGTTCAGGTTGGTCAGCTGCGCTTCCCCAAGGCCAGCCCCAAGCAAGGTGGCCGTCCCTGCCGGGGAGAGTGGCTGGGCTGAAGCAGGTGTTGGCAGCGTGTGTGTGTGTGTGTGTGTGCGCGCGCTCACATGGGAGTGAGTGTGCATCAGCCTGTGTGCCCCCGGCACTGACTGCGGAGCTGTCCTGAGAGGAAAGGGACGCACACAGCCTTGCCCCCTAATTTAAGGGAATAAGGAGGCTGCTTACTGCGGTCATCTAAGCGTATGGGGCTGGAACCAGAGCAGAAACACGGATGGAACAACAGAGACAAACAGAGAGCCCAGGTCGGACACAGGTGCCTGCGTGTTTGACACTGACCAACGCACAGTTCACCCAAGGAGCCAGAGAGGTCGCTGCCAGTCAGGGGCATGGGGTTGTGTTGAACACCTGGGGAAGCCTGAATGGGGTCTTCCCTAACTAGCAGACCAAAACGGACATCAGCTGTAGTTAACTTAGCCATGAAAGGTGACCATGCGCGTCCCTGTGACCTCGCCCCGGCATCTGCAGTCGCAGGTGCAGAAGTGCCTGTGTCCGCTGAGGCCTCTTCAGAAGGCAGCACTGACTGACACGCTGGTGGGATCGCAAACAAGAGCCAGGTGGAGTCTCAGCCTTATTGCCTTCAGTTCCCCGGGGGGCTTCCGGGCGTCCCATGGAGTGACAGGATGTCCCAGGTGCATGCACAGAGTGGCAGCTGCAGTGCGTTCCACAGCAGCCAGAAGGTGAGAGACACCCAACATCCGAGGAGCGAGGAGTGCAGAAGCAGGGTAGCTGTGGGCAGGAGGTGGACGCTCCCGTCCAGGCTCAGAAAGGCAGGAAGCCCCCTCCTGCTGCCACGTGGCTGGACCTTGAAGACACTGTGCCAAGGGAAAGACTGTGACACCAGACCAAGGCCGTGTGTCTGCACTGGACGAGGTCCCTGGAGCCAGGAAACTCACAGCCACAGGAGAGGAACTGGCCAGGCCTTGGAGGAGGTGGGAATGGGGCTTGGCGGTTAATGGAGCAACGTTCCAAGACAGGAAAGTTCTGGAGGTGGGAGGTGGCCGTGCTGAGCCACAGTGTCAAAGTCATGGCGTCTCTGAAGTGTGCACTCTAAATAGCTAAAAGTCAAACAACATGGCATGTTTCATACACGTTGGGAAAAATGGATGCTTGTGGACAGTCAGGCTTGGTGAGGGTCTCCAGCCCCTGCCGCCTGCCACCCTCAGGGACTACCAATGTCAGAGACCTGCAATACCTCACCCTGTGGGCCCAAGTTTGGCATTACAAGGAGACTCTGTGGCCTCCCTCCTCCACGTGAACATGGTTGCAGTTCTCATCCTGGGGCAGCTGTGTCTCTGGGTTCCCCAGTTGTCACGTGTGTATGTAAATAGGCACCATGTTTGTGTGCAGTCCTGTCCCCACAGGTGCTGTGTAGTCACGCCTGTTACACACGGAAGGGTGTGTGTGTGCTACGGAAGCGTGTCTGAGGTGCACACGTGTATGTTTTGGAGACCAAATCTGCAGTTGGATGTCTTGAGACACATTTATTTGATGAGCTGGAAGGGACAGTTCCAGCCTCTGTGGACATACCTGAGCTGCCCACAGGCAACCAGGTCTGATCCAGCTGTGAGCATTGCTTGGGTACCAGCTGTATGCCCTTGTGTTCGGTTGGAAGCGCCTGAGTCTGTCCCGGCCACCCATCTGCACATGCAGACTCTGATGTGCTGTCCACGTGACCACGGATGTCCCTCTTGCTCTCTCTCCCAGTGCTCTGCTGGACGAAGGAAAGGCCACGATTCCCTGCCTGGCGGAGAGACTGACCACTGAGCTCATTGCACACATCTGTGTAAGCAGAGCCCCATGTCCTCTCTGAGGGGTCCCTGGCACCCAGCCGTCCACAGTGCTGTGGAGGTCCTGTACCCAGCCCTCTCAAGGCTTCTCGGCACACATCGTGCTGTCTTTGCCGTTGGTGACTCCAGCACGAGAAGCCTTGGTGTTGGGATTCTGCTGCCTCTCACAGCAGATGTGGGTGGCACCCTGGCTGTGAGTCCATCTGTCCTGGGGTTTGATGTGTGGGTATCCTTAGGAGCTGGGTTCCCAGTGGGTCTCCAGGGAGAAGAGTGTTGGATTCTGTCGGACCTGGCAGAGTGTCTCGCTCACACCACTGTAATTCTCAGAGTTAGGGGCCCTCAGCCAGTGTGGACTGGGGCAGCAGCCCTGTTGGAGAGCTGCCTCCCATGTGGGCACAGAGTCTCAGTAGAGATCTTGCCATGCTGCCCACCAGCGTTCAAGGTCTTTCCCAAAGTCCCAGGGTGCAGGTGGAGAGCAGGGTGATGTCTGGTGGACCTGGTCATGAGGGTGGAGCTCTCTGGGCCAGCGTCATGCAGAAAGAGCTCATCCCTTAGCAGACTGCCCACTTAGAGCTGCCTGGGACTTATCTTTGCCCCTGCACTGGGTCACACTCCTAAACCCAAGCTCAATTTTTCTTAGCTAGGTCACTGTCCTCGAGGCCCAAGGTGAGTCTGAGGCCCATCAGCTGGCTTCGGACTCTGAGTCTCCCTCCTCACATTGCCAGTCATGGGCGCGTGTGAGGGAGGCTGCTGAGGGCCTGGCTGCACCCTCCAAGCTGCAGGGGCGGGGACCTGGGGGCACTCAGTCACCTTGTATTTTATTGTATTTATTTTTAATTTTTAAATAGGACTTTTGCATTTATTTCTGATTTTGCTTCAGACGTGATGTGATTTCTTTACATATGAAATATATCAAGTATATACAAAACAGTTAATAGACACTTATATACGAACTTGGTAGATTTTTTGGTATTTGCTTCAGATTCCCCCCCTTTTTTAACCAGTCCATTTTTTATGTGTTGTTTTTACATATATATATGAGGGTGGAGTGCATTTTGATATATTTTACATACGTGAACTATAACTTCCCATTCCTATGGTTGTAATGATGTGGAATTGCACTGGTCATGTATTTATGTATATGAATGTAGTAAATTATGTCTGATTCTCTCTAAAGTCATCCCTATGGTCATCTTTCATTTCTTTCCTTGATTCACTTTTGTTTAAATCAATGAACTTCTCTTTCCCCCTCCCTCCTCATTTATTGGGTGTTAACATCCACATGTCAGAATGTTTGCCCTCTGTTTTGTTTTGCTTTTTTTGGATTGGCTTATTTCACTTAGTAGGATAATCTCCAGTTCCGTTTCTTTAGTGGTCAATGCCATAATTGACTCTTCGATATGGCTGAGTAATGTTCCACTGTGTACATACACCACATTTTCTTTATCCATTCATCTGTTGAAGGGCACCTGGGTTGATTCATAGTTTAGCTATTGTGAATTGAGCTGCTCCAAACATTGATGTGGCTGTGTCCCTGTAGTTCACTGATTTTAAGTCCCTTGGGTATATACCGGGTAGTAGGATAACTTTAGCCACCTGTTAGGAACAGAAGTCCCTGCTAGCTTCTCCCTGCTGAGAACAACATCTAAATGTTGAGGAATCTCAAGTTGTTCCAACGACAGACAGTGGATCTGTCTGCACCCCTGCACCACCAGAGCTCGTGGAACATGATGCAGAAGCAGTGGCACCTTGGTGGCTCCTAGGTGGCCAGGAATCATGTTCAGTGGGCGTCTCTGTGCGGCTCATGGGCTTGTGTGCAGGAGCAGGCTGTGGGCAGCCCTGGTGGAAGGGGATGCCCCAGTGTGTCTCTCTGCACAGGAAAGTCTTTAGAGGACATCAGGACGTCACATGTACCTTGCAGCTACTCTGGTGAGCAGGCCTGTGGCCTCATTTTTTTTTCCCGCGTCCATATTTGTATATCCCATCATTTTCCCAGAAATCCCTGCCACTGCTGGAAAATCAAATAAAGGAAAATATCCAGAAAGTAACCGAGGAGTTGAAATACTTTGGCGTGGACGTCCCAGAGGAGGAGAGCTTGAAAACCTTCTTCCTGATAGACGTGAGTATTCCCCGGGGCCTCGTGGGGCAGATTCCGCCTGGTGCCCACACGGGGACGCTGAGCCTCATCCGCTTCTGTCCTCACTCCCATGAGGCTATCCACGGCCCTCTGCCCACTTGGTCCTAAAAGGGACAGGGTTGAGGCAGTGGCCAGGGAGTGGAGGGTGTGTGCAGGCTGGGTAGCAGGGAGGAGGTCTCAGTCCTCTCCTCCACTGAAGGTGGAAGGGAAGGGTGGGGCTTCCTGGTACCTGAAATGCCTCACCCCCTTTAATCCAGGGTCGCCCAGGAGGGGGAAAGGCTCATCCAAGCCCAACACCCACAGGCCTGCAAACACCCTGGCGTCTGTTGTTTGAAGGTCTGCTCACACTGATGTTGTCCTTATTTGCAGAAAATCAATGAGTTCAATCAGGACATCAATGCTATAGTACAAGCCGAGGAAGTTGTAGGGCCAGAAGAAATGCGGCTGTTTACCAGGATGCGAAAGGAGTTCCACAAATGGAGTACTGTGATTGAAGAGAACTTCCAAAAAGGTGAGTGTGCTGGGTGTGTAAAAGCAGTGGAAACCCGCGGCTCACTGTTCTGGGTGTGTGAATGCCAAGGTCCAGGCGCCAGCTGATTGGGTGTCTGGTTTCAAGATGGCGCTGTCTAGCTGTGTCCTCAGAGGGAAGCAGAGGCCAGACTCCCCTGGCCCTGTTTCTAAGGGCAGGCACCCAGATGTTGGGGTAGAGCCCTCAGGACCACATTGGAGAACTTCAGCATGAACTTGGGGACACGTTTGGCCATGTCAGTGAGTCCAGGCCTGGTCATGGCAGGAGCCTTGGGCTGAGTCTGGGGGAGGAGGTTCCAGTGGTGGGGATGCTGGGGAGGCAGCTAGGAGAAAGGAGCTCACCTGCTCGGCTCCATGCTGCGGACGAGGCCATGAGCCTTCATGACTGATGTGCAAGGTTACCATAGAACACTTCTTAGCCCCCAGAAGAGACGCTGCTCCCCAATAGTGAGTGGAGGAACATGGTGCATCTGGTGTCCTAGATCCCAATGAGGGTACTGCTGGCATAAGCCTGGCCACCTGTGGCAGCAGAGAATGAAGATAAAGAGCCCCATGGAGACCACCTGTGCGCCCTCCCCCCTCCCCCAGGAATCTGGGGAGGGAGAGGGCAGTTCTGGAATGATCTATCCAGATTTCAAGAGGCTGAAGGAAGTCATAGATGAGTTGATCAGGGTGTGGCAGCCAAGCACAATTCCAAGTGACCTGCTGTCCCTCGAGGACTTTGATGTGTGTCCACTATTCACCTCCACCATCCAGAGCTTCAGAGCAACAGATTTCTTTGGCTTTTAGTCTCAAACCTGGGAAAGTGGTGCTCCTCTCTGGGTAGGCCACCCTGTGGAATCCATGGGCCGACGGCGTGGAGGTGGTGGGGATTTGGAGCAGTGCTCTTTGGAGAAGCCCATGGACGGCTCATTAGGGGACAGCGACTTACCTCATCACTGTGGCCTCTGTTCCTACACTGCTCAGCCCTGCAATTCCAGGGATCAGAGGCTGTCCCCTGCTGTGGGTGCCTCTGGGGTTAGAGAGGGACACCTGCCCATTTCCAACAGGGAATCCTTTGCAATCACACGGGGGTGAAACGCAGTGCATGGAGTGTAGAAGACAGAGCTCTTGAGACTCCATAGTAACACCCGAATAACCCAGTGAGAAAATGGGAAGAGACACGACTTCAGGAAGAAGACCCAGAAACGGCTGCAGGCACCTGAAAACCACAGGGTGACCGCTTCACAGCCAGGGACAGACAGGCCCCTCACGAGCTGCGGGTGGAGAGGGAGGTGGCACAGCTGCTTTGGATGATGGCCAGCAGCTCCACCCCTAGGTCCACACTCCAGGGCCCTGAGACCCATGTCCACACAGGAACTGCAGAGCAGGGGTCCCCACAGCAGCCCAGGTCACCTCACATGGTGGCCTTGGCCCATGTCCAGCTCTCCTCTGTGGTGCTCACAGGAGCACCCTTATTTAAACCCATTGCCTCTTACAGACCCTGCCCACAGCACGGTCGCACTATGAGGCCTTAGGTGGTGGGACCCCCACCTGCATTTCCAGGAATTTCCCCAAACCACACACAACTATGCCATGTGAAATTCTCAGTCCCAGGCCCAAGGCGTGACCCATTCTGAACATGGCTGGACCTTGGACACACCCTGTAGGTGCAGGAAGCAGTCCCAACAGGCCACATGCACCTGCGTCAATACCTATGACGTGTCCACAGTGGGCAGAGCTGTCGGTCAGCCAGCAGAGTGGTGGTCGCAGGGACTGGAGAGAGGGACCAACTGGCAGGGACAGTGACGGCCTGTGGCGTCTTCCAGGGGAGGACTTCTCAGCCTCTAGAAGAGATAGTGGTGGATTAGATAGTGGTGGAGTCCCAGATCAGTTAGACACGCTGAGAGCCACAGGACTGTCCACTTGGCAGAGTGAGTGGTATTGCCTGTGAACTGACCTCAAAAACAATTTCCTACCAGGAAATCCCTGAGCAAACAGGCCCCAGAGACCATCCTTCCAGGTGGGAAGCTGGGCCCCTCTGAGGCTGCACCCTGAGGGAGTGTCCCCAGGGTCAGGCACCTTGGGCACACAGTGTGAAGAGAAGCTGACCATTCTGCCTAGTGGACAGTGTCACTGAGCCTCGTCACAGCACCTGAGGTGCCTGTGCCCTCTTGTCCCCTCTATGACGGACACCTCCTCTGTCACCACAGCCCAAGAGCACCTGGTGGGCAGGTGGCTGCAGCTGATGTCAGGGTCATTGCTGCCCCCAGAGGCCCTGTGGTCCTGGTTGGGGAGGCGATGTGTCGTCCTCTCTCTCTGGCAGAAGTGGAGCAGAGTGACACAATGACACAGGCCAGTGCTTTGTCCAGTAGGCTTTCCCTGAGACCCTGCGCCTGATATTTCCTTGTGTGACCCCTGGGGGGGGTCTAGGGACACCACAATGGCCGTCTCCTTACTACAGACCAGAGGGTCATCCATTCCCAAGTCGAGGTTCCTGGGAATTCGCTTCTCCCACTGAGGTCTTCAGAAGACCAGGAAGGTGGTGTCGACCACCCGCGGGGGGCTTACCCACAGCCCCTTTCCTCCTGTAGGGCATGGAGTTCTGCGTAAAGAGATCAGGAAGTTTGAAAACCAGTACCGTGGCCGGGAGCTGCCAGGCTTTGTGAATTACAGGACGTTTGAGACGATCATAAAGGAGCAGCTCAGGTCCCTGGAGGAGCCGGCCGTGGACATGCTGCACACGGTGACGGGTGAGCACCATGTCACTTTCTGGCCTTCACTTCTCAGGCAGGGAGGGTGATCGGAGCCGGGCTCGGGATCCAAGCTGTTCCCGGGGTTTTCTCCCAGCAGCCCTCTCTGCCGCCCAGACCCCAGCCTGCTGTTGGGCTCCATTCTGACACTGCCACCCCACTGGTTAAGGACACACTCCCCCAGACCGTCCCCAAGAGTATGCATAGCCCATGAGGAGCACATCCCTGCCTGTCCCTCAGGCCCTGCCCCGTCCTCCGGTTGGGGCGTCACAGGTGATCCCAGGAACATGCCGCCTGGCCTCTGCTGTGCGTGCTGAGGGTGTTGAGGACACGGGGCTTGTGCCATGACGGGTGGCGTGGGTCTCAGCTCAGACGCTCAGAGGTTTTCTGGAGGCCTCCCCACCCGGGCCTGGTGATGACTGGAACCCCAGCCTCACTTCCCTCCCCGGAGGGTGGGGTGGGGTGGACATGGCAGCTTCCACAGCTGGCTTGTCCTCCTGGTGACCAACCCTCATCCTGAATCTGTCTGTGCCCACAGAAATGTTTAGTGGGGCGAGAGATGCTCCTATCAGGCAGGAGGTCCCCATGCCCCCAACAGGCATGTCAGGGCTGGAGGCCAGGCTGGGGTTCCCTCTGCCACACTGCCCCTTGCCCCACGGCCCTGAGCACAGCCCTTGCAACGCTCTGTGTGTTGGCTCCTCTGAGAAGCGGGGTTGGGGGAATGGCCATGCACCCGGTGAGGGCCTGGCACTGCCTCAAGGGTCGAGTGGGTGCGGTGGCATTGCTGTGGTCAGGGAACCAGGTCAGAGCCCTGAGGGCAGACCCGACTTTGTCCTCTCTCACCCCTTCCTGAAACCATCTCCCCGAGGTTTGGAGAAGGCCTGATGTGTCCCCTCCTCCCCTCCCCGCACACCCTGCCTCTTCATCAAGAGTGGTAACAGAGGTGGCCAGGGGCCAGCTGGTGGGGCAGCCTCCCCGGGCTCAGCAGGGTGAGTCCCAGGAACCTGGCCTGCTGGGTGGCGTCCCCACCAGCACCCTCGTCACTGCAGAGCTCTGGCCTCTGGTGACCCTGTGGTCCTTGCAGCAGGCCCCGCAGTTACCCAAGAGAAGTGCAGTCAGTCAGCATCTCGGGAGCTACTTGTGTTTCACAAAGCTGAGGTTTGGGTCAGTTCAGACTATTCAGGGTGACGATCTGGTGCTCTGGGATCAAGGACGATCCCGTGAATAGGAAGAACGGGAATGTGTGCTCCTAACACGAGAGCGATGGCGGGAATTTCTATGTAGTGAGAATCGGCTCTTGCATTTCGTTTCAAATGAATATCGTGGTCCTGCAGATTCTCTGGACAACCTTCAGGCTGATGTGACAGTTTTATCGTTAAGTATGACCAGAATCCTGGTCCCCACAAGCCACATTCTTTGAAACTGAGCTCACACGAGTGTTCTGTGGAGTGGCGGCCAGGGCTACTGAGCGAGGAGACCCCTCCAAGGACCTGAGGGCCCACTTCTGCAGGTGCGGGAGGGGGAGCAGGCCTGGCCCCTGGCCTGTCCTGTGTCTTGGGCTGTGTGCAGGCTGCGTGGGCCACCAGGGCCGCCACCACTGTGGAACCTCTTTTTCTCGTTGGTCAGATATGGTGCGAATCGCCTTCACAAATGCTTCAGAAAAGAACTTTGCTGAATTTTTTAACCTCCACAAAACTGCCAAGGTGAGAAGAAGCCGTGGTTTTCGAAGGCTGACCCCGGCTGGCGGGGGACCCTACCTGTTTCCTCTGTCCGTTCCCGGCCTCTCGTTGGCTCTTGGAGAAGCAGTTCCTCCACCAGGTCGGGTTGGAGCCAGAGGAGGGTTGGGGAGGGAGACAGCAGGCAGAATCGCAGCCTGTGACTCTCAGGAGAGAGGCCGCCTTGGTCAGGTTGGAGGTCACAAGGTGGGCGTGCCCCCAGCTGGGGCCCTCAGTGAGAAGCTGAATACAGAAACAGCATCTGTGGAGAGTGAGCAGAGAGCGAGGAGTGAAGGAGACCCTCGCGCCCAGAGGACAGGCGTGGCCCAGAGCCCAGCAGGGCCACCTGGGGAGAGGGCTGCTCAGTGGGCTCAGGACCCCAGGGCTCTGACCTCAGCTGGGGTCAGGCCTGATGAGCAGGGGGTGGCCCAGGCTGCCCCAGGCCGTGCCGTGCTCACCTTGGTGACCCAGGCTGTGGGCATGCTGATGACCCACTGCCTACTGCACGGGTGACTTGGTGGAGGGAGGCTGAGCTGTGTCTCTCTCACTGCAGTCCAAGATTGAGGACATCAGGCTGGAACAAGAGCAAGGAGCCGAGAGGTGCATCCGGCTCCACTTTCAGATGGAGCAGATCGTGTACTGCCAGGACCAGGTCTACCGGGGCGCGTTGCAGGGCGTCAGGGAGAAGGAGGCGGAGGAGGAGAAGAGGAAATCCCACGGCCAGAGCCAGTCTGTCTCTGCAGAGGAGTCGTCCATGGCTGAAATCTTCCAGCACCTCGATGCCTATCGCAAGGTGCGTGTGCAGGGTCTCCATCCTAGGGGTTCTGTGGTTTCCCTGCCGCCTGAGCCCCGCTCTGTCTATGGCACGGTGGCTGTGAGGTGACCATCAGCCAGCTCCACCTCTCAGGTCTGGGTGAGCGTCCCTGGGGGCAGCTCCACCTCAGGTAGACAGAACTGGTTGTGGCTTAGAGCACGTGGTCATCTGGCTTCCACTGGCTGTGTGGCTCTGGCCAAGCCGCTTACCCTCTCTGAGACTTGGATTCTTCTCTGTGCCGTGCTGTCTCATGGAGAATGTTCCGTGAGAGGCGTGTGGGCGAGTCCCCCAGCACAGGGTTGGGATGGCTTGGCAGCTCACAGGGACCCATGTCCTGGAGACGCCTGCTTGGCCTGGCGCTGCCTTTGCTCCCCATGTGAAGTCACAGGTGCAGCTGAGGCAGAGCTTCTGGGGCCTGAGCATCTGCAGAGTGAGGCGCTGGCCCCTCCTGGTTTCCAGACCCAGCCCTCCCCACTCTGGGCTGCGGTGGGCAGAGTGTCTCTGTGTGCACCTTGCACAGCCCGCAGCTCTGCCTGGATGCCCTGTGCCTGGGGGGCCCAGGGGCACTGTGGCTCGTGGCCTGGCGCAGCGCGTGGGTCCAGGTGGAGAGCACCCTCGGAAGGCAGGGCTGGCATCCAGGGCCCAGCCCCATTCCCTGCAGACTCAGGGCTGCAGACCCGGGGTGAGCCGATTGGGGGTGGCAGGAGTGCAGGGCCCATCCCGCAGCCCCTGGCACCTGGGTGCTCAGGCTGCCCCGGGGGCACAGGGGATTTGGGGAGAGGGTGAGGTGTGACGGAGCAGAACGGCTGACCCTGCAAATGCGTGGCCACCACCCCCTGGGAGCCTGCAGCCTGCCCGAGGAGCAGCCCTTCTCCAGGGTCTTGTGGCTGCTCCCAGGCGACTCCGTGCGCTGCAGACCTGCACTGCACCTGCGTGTTCTCCTCCTCTGCACAAAGGCTCGCGGGCTGCCCTCGGCCCTGCACCTGCCCCTCGCACTGCTCCCTGGAGATGGGTCCACTCAGATGCCAAGAGCAACCTGGCTCCCCCCGTGACTGCCCAGTGTCCCACGTTAGGGTGGAGCACAGGAGTCCGTCACCTCTTGACAGCACCATCTCTTTGCAGCCTCTGCTACCACAGGGAGGTTGCAGAGGTGACCCTGTCCACAGCCCATGCCTGTGGAAGCCTGCAGTGCCCGAGCCCGGTTCTGCAGGCAGACAGGACCAGAGGGATACGTCTAAGAAGTCAAAAATTGGCCAATGACTGTGGCCAGTGCCTGTGGAGCTGGAAACTGGGGCCAAGTGAGCCGAGCCCGCGGCTGGGGTGTCCTCTTGCCCTGAAGGCCTTTCCCTGACTGGACAAGGCCCACCCACAATGTAGAGTCATCTGCTTACTTAGGGCCAGCTGACCCTTGCATGCCCAGGTCCCAGCATGTCCCCCAAGGGCCCCTTTGCCCGCAGCCGTCCCCTCCTGCACAGCAGCCGGGGCTCCCACCACTCACCCCAGGCGCACCAGGCTCTGCTCTCTCTCAGCCTCCCCTGCAGCAGCCACTGGGTGCTCCTCGCCTGCCTGGCGTCTTCTTCGCTGGCATCTGACCACACGCTTCATCTCCTGGGCCATCCCAGAGGGTCCTGCCCTGCACCCTGCCTCCCAGGGAGGGAGACTGAGCCCCAGAGAGGTCGCAGGACTCGCCAAGCTCCAGCACATGCCGATTTCCTGAGGTCGGCCTGTGCAGAGGAGCCGTCAGGGATGTGGAGACGTGGTTTTGTGCCGAGTGTGTTGCTGCCTGGTTTAGGAATGTCTGCCTCTTCCACGAGGACGAGCCGATGGTCAGGGAGGCTGGGAACACTCACTCCAGCTCTGTCTTGGACACCTGTGGGGTGGTTCTCTGCCCCGTGCAGGGCTCCCCCCGTCCCCAGCACAGAAGCCTCTGTCGGGACTGAGCCCAGGCGAGGGCCTGCACCCCCAGTCTGGGTCCGTCCAGGGTTCCTGTAGGGAGGTCAGCGTGCCCTGCTGACCTGGCCTCGCCTCCTGTGACCTGTCCCTTCCTCCCAGGAGGCTCACAACCGCATCTCCAGCCTCGTGCCCTTGATCGTCCAGTTCTTCGTCCTGAAGACGTTCGGCCAGCAGCTGCAGAAGGCCATGCTCCTGCTCCTGCAGGACAAGGACGCCTGTGGCTGGCTGCTGAAGGAGCGCAGCGACACCAGCGACAAGAGGAAGTTCCTGAAGGAGCGGCTCTCGCGCCTGACCCAGGCTCGGCACCGGCTGGCCAAGTTCCCTGGCTAAGGCTGTGTGCACCAGGTCCACAGCACAGGGAGGCGGCCCTGGCCTTTCCTGGTGGCTCTGTGACGACTGTCCCCCAGCAGAGAGGGAGCATGAGCCCGGCTGCCCAGGCAAGGGCTCTGCTGGCCCCTGGATGAGGGTTGGGGGCTCTGGGAGCCTGTGATTCCCAGTGGTCAGAGGAGAGCCCTGAGCTCGGCCAGAGGGCTCAGCGCCCTGCCAGTGTCCTTCCTGATTTGTAATGTCCTGTCAGGAGCCTTGTCTTGCTGTGGGTGGGAGGGCTCGTGGTGGGTGTCCACCTGTCCCTAATAAACCCTGCTGCCCGGCACTTCTCTGACACGTTTGTACCTGGGGAACCCTGAGTATGGCAGGAGGAGGGGCCTTGTGCCCGACCTGCCCTGAAGCTGCCCTCCCCAGGGCCTGGAGGACAGAGGACAGCAGCGTCCTGCTGTTTCCTAGAGATGGCCGGGAAGGGGGCAAGCTTGGGAAGCCATGACCTCAGGTTGTCACTGGTACCTGCTGGGCGCCTGGCCTGCAGGTGAGGCTCTCTGGGTCCTGGTGGAGAGGACGCTCTGCCAGTTCTGCTGAGAGGTCCTGGCCGAGAGGGCGGCTGGTGGGGTGTGCAGGACGGAGAGGCCCTGTGTGGCCAGCAGGGAGACCCATGGGCAGCCAGGAGCCACACCCCACACCCGAGCCTCCATGCTGCTGCTTGACCTTCATCCCCTGGGGCCACCAGGACGGAGGGCAACCGTGCAGCAGTGCCCCAGGGACGGGGCAGCCGTGGCCTTGGCCCTCAGAGGAGCAGTGCAGCTCTGGCCTTCAGGAAGGCCTGAGCCCACACAGAAGGCAGGGAGCACCCCCGGCACGAGGGGCAAGGACCAAGCAGCAGAGGGACATTGTCTAGGACACTCAGGCCGACCAGTCCTGCGGGCCTGGGGTCCCTGTGCAGCCACAGCCGGGTGATCCTCTAACTCTGCTGCCCGTTGACAGGGAGGGCCTCAGGCCACACTGGACGCTGCCTGTCAGGGGCAGGGTGGGTCTGGGTTATGCCCCTGCCCCTCCCAGGCACACCCCCACCCAGATCTCTTCTGACCATGAAGCTTCTTAATCAATCCTTGGACGGTGTCGGGTTCGCCTCCAAGACGGGATGCAGGAGGACTGTGGGCTCGGCATAGTCCGCAGCTGTGGCAGGTGTCTCCACGAGGTGGGGGCTGCCTGTGCCCCTGCAGCAGGACCCGGAGCCCGGGAGCTCCAGAGCTGACCGCCGGCTGCAGTTGGGGAAAGGACTGCGCCAGTTCATGAGGCTGGGTGGGCAGGGCCACTCCTTGTTTGGTTTTTGATTTTTGTGGTGCTGGGGATTGAACCCAGGGCCTTGTGCATGCGAGACAAGCACGCTACCATCTGAGCTGTGTCCCCAGCCCCCGTGCCACTTCCTAATGGCCCCAAGTCTCTCCAAAGACACCACTTATCCTCTCCCTCCAGAGACACCCCCAGGCTCTCCCTCCAGGCACCCTGCCTCTTCCAGTCCTGCCTGGGAGCAGCCCTAAGGCTGATGCGTTCGCAGTGGCTGCCGCCCTCTGGTGGCTGCTAGAGTCATTGCCCATGGTGAGGTCCCATGGCCAGGTCCCTTGGCAGGCTCTGCCCAATCTTGCAGGGACTTGCAGTTCTGTGGGACAGAAATGGAATCTGAGGTTTCCAGACCTGACATGGACTCTGCTCTGCTGTGTGCAGTTTTCCTGGAGACCCCTGGAGGGTCTGGGGGGGAAGGTGGGTCTGGAGCACCTGGTCTCTAGAACCCGGCTGGCCCCTGGAGGCTGCACCATGCTGGGGAGGAGCTGGGGGCTGCCGTGAACCTGGCTCCCCGACACTCTGGACTCGGCTGTCCTCTCCCATGCCAGGGCCTCCGCCCTCAGCACAGTCCTCCTGTGGCACAGAGCTGGTCCCCTACCAGCGTGGGGAAGCCCCAGGGCAGGCTCAGTCCCTGGAGGAAGGAATGGATCCCAGGGGCAGGCCCTCCCCCAGGCGGCCGTGAGCCCCAGAGGCCTGAGGTTGGTCCAGTTCCCCTTTATCCTCCTCCTGGGAGTGCAGGGGTTTCAGATGGTCTGAGTCCCCGTCCCAGCCGGGGGGGCTCCAGGTGGTCTGTGGCTCTTGGGGCTCAAACACCGACCGTGGGTTTGTTCCCCCTGAGCGGGTGGCTACGTCAGGGATGTTCTCAGTGTGACTTTCCAGTAGTGAAAGTCCCGGCTCCTGCCTCAAACACTGGGCGCAGCCGGTGAGCTGGGTCCCGGCCATGCCATGCTGTCCAGCCCTGTGTGGGCTTGTGGGGCCGTGCAGGGCAGCTCCAGGTCAGCTCTGGTCCCAGCCCTGGTTCTGGAGTCAGAGCCGGATCCACTGAGCCACGGCAGAACTAGAGCAAAGGGCTCCAAGCTTGCCAGGGACCTGAGCTTTGGGTGACTGTCCCCAGGGACTCTGCCAGAGGTGAGCCCAGCCCTCATGCCCAGGCTGGGCTCAGGCTCGGCCAGCTGCAAGCTGCAGCAGCGGCTCAGCCTGACCCCAGCTCCCTGATGGGCACGCTGGGTGGTTCAGGCCAGGCCACTGCCTGTGGGGGGAGCAGCGTGCCCTACAGGAAGTCACTCTCCCTGTCTCTCCCCAGGTTTTCCTTCCAGGTGAAGTCATTCTCGCCCCAGGTCAGTCATTCTAGAGGAAGTCATTGTCCACGGACAAGAGCATGGGGAAGCACCACACCTGCTCTGCTCTGAGGGACACTGCCTCCCTTGATTCCAGAGCCCTCCCTGGTGAAGTGCCCGTTGCTGAGGCTTATACGTGACCTCCAGCTAGCCAGCAGCCCTTTGGGGACTGGTGGGGAGAATCTGCCTGTCCTGTGCATCCCAGCGTCCCAGTCCCAGGGAGGCTGTTTTAGGGACTTTTTTCACTGCTGGGACTAAAGGATCTGACCAGAACAATTTCAAAGGAGGAAAAGTTTATTTGTAGGCTCAGGGTTTGGGAGATCCCAGTCCAGAGAAGGTCAGCCCCATTCCTCGGGGCTTGAGGTGACGCAGAACATCGCGGCAGGAGAGTGCGGTGGAGGGAAGCAGCTCCAGGATGATCGGGAAGGGGACTCCACTGGCCAGATACAAATACACACCCAAAGCCGCACCCCAATTCCCACCTTCCCCAGCCAAACCGGCCACTTCAGTTAATCCCATCGAGGACTCATGCTGATTAGGCTAAGCCTCCGCCCATCATTTCTCCTCGGAACCTTCTTGCCTTGACTCACACGTGAGCGTTGGGGGGACACCTCACATCCAGACCACAACAGAGGCCCACAGGCGGCCTGTGCTCGGCTCCCTCCAGTTCCCGCTGTTGGGCTGCGTCCTCTCAGGGGCTGTTCATTGCCCTGTGTTTGTAAATCTGAGTTTGGCTGGCCGTGTCCCTGTTCTCCACAGCCAGGGTGCAGCGCCGCAGCGCCACTGTGGAGGCCAGCACAGGGTGGCGCAGCCTCTAACGGAGACACGCGCTAGAGCCCTGGTTCGGGCTGTCAGGGGCTGCTGGATGGGAACGCCGTCCGGGGACCCACCAAGATAGTCAGATGTGGCATCTGCACGGAAACACGTGGAGTGGGGGCTGTGTGTGTCACTTTTGAGCGTATCGTGCCCAGGATGCCCGGGAGCCCAGCTGTCCCCCCAGGAGCAGTGTCAGTGCTGCCGTCCCAGATCCCTGGAGCTTCCCCCGGAACCACTGTCCCCACTCAGAGCCTGTCATCCAAGACAACCCAGGGCTTGGGTCGAGGCTTCGCTCTGTTTTCACTTTCTTCCATGTGGACAGGTTTGGGGAGGGAAGCCAGCCATGGTCGTTTCCTCCAACCCTGTTACACGCTGAGGATGCTCAAGGAAGAGAGGCTTTCTGCCCCAGGTGGGGAGAGGCACCCAGTCTCTCTCCTGCCTGCATCTCCAACTCCAGGGCCTTGGGATGGATACACCGGAGGAGGCCTTCCTGCCACCGTGCACCAACAGACTATGGAAAGGACCTGACTGTTTTGGTCAGGCTGGGCCCGGGGACCTGGGTACCCTGGGCACAAAGGTGGGAACGGGTGGTTCTCAGGGCCCGAATCTGGGAGAGGTGGGAACCTGGACAAGGCCCCTCCAGGAGTCATCAAGGGTCACATCCCACGGGACAGGCTGTGGGAATCCAGGGACCTGGCCTGGCCAGGTGCTCTGAGCAGCATGCCCTCCCCTAGGCCGGGCCCTAACTCGTTGTTGAACAAGGAGAGGTCACCCAGCTCTGCTGCCCGGCACAACTGCAAAGACTGGATGAATACTGGAAAAAAGCACGCACTTTATTTGCATAGTATCCTGTCACTGAATTTTACAGCTTAGAACAGACAGAGAGCAGGAGACGAGCTGTGGTCCACACCGAGAGGAGACGCACCGAGAAGGGAGTGTTTGGGAGCGTTTGGCCACTTCCAGGAGCTTGAGCATCCGGCCTGGGAGGAAGGTCCCCGGTGCTACTCCACAGGGGTGTGGGGGAGCACCCACCCTCCCCTGCAAGCCCAGTGGGAGCAGCACATCAGCCACTGGAGCCACGAGAGCTGGCCACGATCAAGGTGGTCACACTCTGCAATGTCAGAGCGGGCCCTCCCTCCAGTGGAAACCCAGGGCCACAAGGGGCCACAGGGAGTGCCGCACACACCTGTCCCCTCTGTCACAAGCTTGGGGGCTTTTCTTTCACACTCCTCTGCAGGACCTTGAGTTAGGAGCCAGCTGTCAAGTGAGAGAGACTCAAAGGCCCGCTGTGCCTACGGGGCACAAGTAGAGCTTCAGGGAGCCCAGTGTGGGCAGGCGTCAGAAGCCAGGTCCCAGAGCACCGAGGTAGTCTAGGAGAAACCAGACCCGGAACCAGGGCTTCCGGATCTGCACATCCCTGAGTCCCCAGAGGACCTCGGCCTCCATGGGATGAGCCGGTCCTGAGAGGGTTCCCGAGGGCTGGGCTCAGCCCACTGGCAGCCAAGGGGCCAGCACAGGCTCTGAGGGGGAAGGGAGGAGGCACAGGGAGAGGCCAGGGCCAGGCTGCAGTGGTTGGAGTGGGCCCGTGTTCAGGCCCGGCTCTGAGGGCTCTGCCTACACTCTCAGCCTCAAAGGTTTCTGCTGTCCCAATAAGTGGCCAGCATAGCTGTGCCCTAGGAGGGCTGGTCCCTTTGTTTCCAGCCAGCATCCACCCTGGGTGCTGAGAAGGCACTAAAATATGACCAGCCACCTAGAGACCAGGTGGCAAGGTGCCCATGTGCCTGCCCTCAGGTGGCCCTCCCTGGCCACCAAGACCCCTGCCCTCCCCCTCTTCCCTCTCAGGTCATCCAACCACTCAGAGGTCACCCCTCCACACTCATCCAAAGGGGGGCAGCAAGGCTCAGGAGGAAGACCCAGTAGGGCAGCGCCTGCATGCATGTCCCTGGAGGGCCTGCCACCCCTCTGGACAGAGAGTTGGGGGAGTGGACAGGGCGGGCCTGCAGCCTGCACTGGATGCCGACAGCAGCAGACGACAAGTCACTGTTTAATCAAAGTGAAAGGACCTGGGATCATCTGGAAAGGCACACACGCCAGGGAATTAAATCAGCCCCAGGGGTCCTTGGGTACGACGGTGAGGACAAGGGAGTCGTGGACACGGCCACACAGGTTAGCTGTTCGCCTGTTCAGAAGGAAAAAGAAACAGACGCTGCTTTCTTCAAACAGCAACAGGCAGGCTATTCCTCCTCCAGGTGCAGATGGCAGGGCTCAGGCGCAGGAAGCAGGGGCCAGGCTGCAGGCGGACGGGCGGTAGGGACCCCAGCACCTCTGAGAGCAGGCTCAGCCTGGGAGCCACACTCGGCTGAGGACACCAACACCTCAGGGGTGTCACCGTGGAGTCCTTGCTTCCTACCCGCCACACGTCCTGACACCCGGTCCTCTGCCGCCGCAGCCACACACTCCCGCTCCTCTGCTCCCTCACCCCTGTGCCCAGCCCCCACTGTCCCTCCTTGTTGCCCCCAATCACAGCCACACCTGTCTGCGTGCAGCCACCTGCCCCTCTCCAGGTGAGGCCCAGCCCTGAGGTAACGTGAAGGCCCTGCACCCAGATGTCATTGAGGGGACAGAGGTAGAGCACTGCCCCTGGTCCTGGCCCTCCTTCAGCACCTGGGACCTTGGGGACACGAGGAGAGGAAGAGCATGTCTCTCACCAGTGCCAGCCTGGAAGGCGTCAGGACCTGAGACTATGGGCGGCCTGCTGCCCCTGAGCTGGGGACACTCAGAGCTCTGCCAGCAGAGGGGCTCAGGGTGGCAGGGCAGGATGGCAGGGCAGGGTGGCAGGGCAGGGTGGCAGGGCAGGGTGGCAGGGCAGGATGGCAGGAGCCTGGGGTCACCCTCTCCATGCTCCTTACCCTGCTGCAGGGTCTGGGGACCCAAGGCCCCCAGACACTCCTGCACCCCTTGAGTGTGGGGGCTGCCCAGGGCCCTGGGGAGGTCCCCATGCGGGGGGCGCCCCATCCGACTCTTCCCTCTGCTGCCTGCCCCTCACCACAGGGTTCAGTTGATGTGGGCGGTGGTGACTGGCCAGCTGAGCCGGCTCCAGTGCAGAGGGCAGAGCCCCGAGGAGGGTCCTGCTGGCCTCTGCCACCAGCACCAGTGGGCACCAGGGCCTGGGGACACTGGATTGGGGGAAGGTGATCTTGATCTAGCTTCACTGCAGCCGTGGGAAGCAGGGTGGCCTGGTGCCTTGGTGGCCAACCAGCTTCTCACAGCAGAAGCTGGCCTCCTCTCAAGGAGACGGAAACCCAGTGGAAAGGACAGGAAGTTACCCTCATCTGTCGGTAGATCCAGTCTGTGAACACCGTCATGTTTCCGTACACTCCGGGCCTGTTAGCCTTGGCACACCCAGATCCCCAGCTCGTGTCCCCAATCAACCACCAGACTTCATTCTTCAAAGTGACCAGCGGCCCTCCACTGTCCCCCTGGGGGACACAGCAAGTTACCGAGAGTAGAAAGGCTAGTTGCAACCCTCAGCCCCTCTCAGAGCACCTAGAGGGCGCAGGGTCAGGGGTTAGGAGTGGGGGTGCCGTCCGCCCTCCACCCCGGGAGGCAGGCTGCGGCATTAATGGACACAGGCGCCCAGCTCAGCGTGGCCAAGAGGCCGGCTGTCTGTGGTTTAAGTCAGCACACTCCCTCCCGCTGCCCGGCACTTCCCCAGGGAAGGGCTCTTTCCCAGGAAGCCAAGCGCAGAAGGCTCTCATGCTGTTGGTGACCACCAGTCCCCACAGCTGCCCCAGAGCTATATCACCAGGAGGCTTCACAGAGCCCCGCAGAGCATGGACCCTCACAAGGGATCGGCAGGAACTGGCGAGGCTCAGAGTTGAAGAGAAACTGGCAATTACCTGGCAGGAGTCGATGTTGCCCTGCAGGTACCCGGCACAGATCATGGCCTGAGTGATGAGGTTATTGTAGACATATTTGCTGTTGCAGAGTGAGTGCTCAATGAGGTGCACCATCGCAGCGTTCAGCACATCCGAGGTCTTCCCTAAGAACAGAGGCATGGACCAGCGGCTCTCAAGGGCGAGTGGATGTCCTTCCCTGAGGGCATGCCTGCTGTCCCCTCCCTCTGCCCATCCTGATCCCAAGCATGGCGTGCTAAGTAGGGTCAGTGTGTTTTTCCCCATTAAGATGGGGCAACGGAGGCACAAAGCCAGGTGAACTGCCTCAGATCATCAACCACTGAAGAGCAGAACTGAGACTCAAACCAACTGCCCACACCTTGCCCCGCGCTGCCCCCACGCCCCGCTGGCCTGCATGCCCTGAGCCTTACCTTTTTCATAGGTGGCCCCCCACCCAGAAATCCAGCACGGCTGTTGTGCCTCCAGCATCATGCCAGGATTGGGCAGGCACACGGGCTTCACTCTGTCTGTGCCAAGAGGAGGAAACCATGAGCCCTGGGAGTCCAGCAATGGCCTCAGGCAAGAGACTGTGCCTGGCCTGGCCCTGTGCATAGGCAGCCCCCACCACCCTGCCCCGAGAACCCCAGATGCCTATGTGCCTTGACACCCCCACTGTGTGCCCTGGCAGGCCCCTCTTTCTAAGAGGCGAGAAGTTCCCCTCTGAATCCTATGACATCGTTGCTCCTAAAAACACACGTTCAGCACAGTGGAGCCTCTGGCTCCTGGCTCCTGGTGGGCTCCCCTGTGAGAGCCCTTTCCCACCTTGAAGGCAAGTTCTTCATGGGGAGGGGGAGGCTCTGCTTCATCTGCACCCACGTGGGGCTAGAACATTCCAGACCTTCGCATAGACTAGTGCGGGGGCCAAACAGGAAGCTGAGGGGAGGCGCTGGTGTAACCCATGATTCTAAAGGACATCACTCCCTGAGTGTACCCGGGGAATAGAGCTCTCTTTAGAAATTGCAAGCCTCATGCTCCCAGCTGGAGGCGATTCCATCCCCACAGACGACTGGCAATGTCTGGAGACAACTTTGATTGTCTCGACTAGTGGATGCTACTGACCTCTAGTGGGCAGAGGACAGGGACGCTGCTAAAAGTCCTGCAAGGGCCAAGCAGCTGCACATCAATGAGGAGCAAATCTGGCCATCCCTGCTTCCCTTCCCCACACCAGGGCACTCCTGGCCTCTGCCAAGCCCTCCTCTAGCAGTGCCAATCTGTTCAGTGCCAATCTGTCTTCCCTGACCACGCGTCTCGCTAACAACCAGCATCTCTCTCCTTACAACCTGGCCCAGCACCACCTCACCCTGGCCACCTGCACCACTGAACGTCAGCATCGCTCCGGCCACACGTACCATTGAACGTCAGCGGTGTCTGCAACTTCATAAGCGCAACATCGTTGTTCTTGGTCTTGGAGTCATAATTGGGGTGAGAGATCACTTTCTCGACCCGGTGTCCACTTCCATAGAGCATGGAGGACTGTCTCAGAAGGCCTGCGAAAGCCTTCCAGTACTGCGGGCTGTTGAGAGGCCTGGGAGACAGAGGCACAGCACGCAATGTCTCACCCCGCGCCAGGCGGTCTTTGAAAACTACAAGCTGGAGCTGCTGCCCAGGCTGAGACGACTCCCCAGAATGCAGAGCAGGACTGGGCAGTGGCGGCTCCACCTATCACCCCCCCACCCATGCCCCTCTTTCTGCCTCCAGCTGAGGACTCTGGCTGCTGTGGCTGCTGCACTGGCCCAGAAATGGGCCCTGAATCTGCCCTAAAGTTGCAAACCCTGTTTCTGGCAGGACTGGGTCCTATTAACATTCAAATGTCAGGTCATTTCCTGGTAGACAGCAGGTACTCAAATACAAGTATGCTAATAAACACACTAGGATTCTAATAATAATCGAGACATTCCCTTTATCCAAGGATTTTATTTGGGATCTGAGGGCCCCCAACTGCTAGAGAGCTCTCAGGATCCAGGGGCCTGAAGGGAGAGGCAGAAAGGGACACTCCTGGGCGAGACATGGACACTCCCTGCACCTTTACAGCAGCCCCCGTAGAGCAGGGCACACCTGTGTGATAGGTGCAGACCATGTAGGTCAGAAACACTGAGTGACCCGTCCTAGACACACAGCCAGAGGACCGCCAGGCCAGGAGTGAGGCTTCCTGCAACACAGGCAGGTGCCAAAGTAGACACCAAGAAAAGGAAGCGGGTGGGGGCAGTACCTTCCACAACCCCCACGCATCCACCCCTCCCTGCCCGTCTGCATGGGCACGAGGTCCCCGAGTGCATCTGAGGGCTTCTCCTGGCATAAGCATCCAGGAGAGGGGAACCCGACAGCAGAGGCCCGGAAGGGCAGGGCAGGGCAGGAGGGAGGCTGCAGGGATCGGGTCACAGCCATGAGCACAAGCCACCCTAGCTGTGTCGCAGGGCCAGGGCCAGGGCCAGGGCCAGGGGCACTCTGCACACACCTGCTGAGAGTGGACGTGGCCTACCCACACTCAGCCATGCTTCTGGCTGAGAGGTGTCACAGTCTGCCCAGGGCTCATGGTTTCCTCCTCTTGGCACAGACAGGGTGAAGCACACAGGGTGAAGCCCGTGAGCCCCACTCGCCTGTGGATATGAAGGCCTTGGAGCTTCACAGCCCTGAATAAGGCCACAGAGTCTCACTCCAAACCCAGCGTCCTTGCCAACCCCCACCACCCGACAACAAGGGACGTGGACATACTCCTCCACACAGTGGGCAGCGGTCACAATCCACTCAGGGGTGATGATGGAGCCTCCGCAGACGTGGATGCCTTGGACATGCAGGCTGACCTGCCAGGGCCAGTCGCCCAGGTTGGCGTTGGTTCCACCCACGATCCTGCTCTGCCGCCGCAGAAAGGGGCTACCACACTCTGGGGGACAAGCAAACATCAGTGGGAAGCCAGCCCAGCAGGAGCCCCCTGGCACCTGGCTCCCAGCCCAATCCTGAGGGCACAGGGCTCCCACCCAGGGGTTCAACAGGCAGGGCAGTCAGCAGGACTGCCCCCTAGCATTCCCTGCATTAGGGGTCCAACGAGAGGTGTCACAGTCAACCCTTGGTAGAAGGGAGAGCTCCTGACTCTGCAGATCTCCCCAAGTAGGAGAGTGAGGAGTGACTGAGGGGAGTGAGGAGAGTGAGGGGTGACTGAGGGGAGTGAGGAGTTGGGTGAGGAGGAGAGTGAGGTGGTGAGTGAGGAGGGAGTGAGGAGGTGAGTGAGAAGGTAAGTAAGAGGGGAGTGAGGAGAGTGAGGGGTGAATGAGGAGGAGAGTGAGGGGTGACTGAGGAGGTAAGTAATAGGGGAGTGAAGGATAAGTGAGGAAGAGAGTGAGGAGGAGAGTGAGGAGGGAGTGAGGAGGGAGTGAGGGGGAGAGTGAGGAGGAGAGTGAGGAGGGAGTGAGAGGGAGTGAGGAGGGAGTGAGGGGGAGAGTGAGGAGGTGAATGAGGAGGTGAGTGAGGAGGAGAGTGAGGAGGGAGTGAGGGGGAGAGTGAGGGGGAGAGTGAGGAGGAGAGTGAAGAGGGAGTGAGGGGGAGAGTGAGGAGGTGAATGAGGGGGAGAGTGAGGGGAGAGTGAGGAGGGAGTGAGGGGAAGAGTGAGGAGGAGAGTGAGGAGGTGAATGAGGGGGAGAGTGAGGGGGAGAGTGAGGAGGGAGTGAGGGGGAGAGTGAGGAGGTGAGTGAGGGGGAGAGTGAGGGTGAGAGTGAGGAGGGAGTGAGGGGGAGAGTGAGGGGGAGAGTGAGGGGGAGACTGAGGAGGAGAGTGAGGAGGGAGTGAGGAGGGAGTGAGGGGGAGAGTGAGGGGGAGAGTGAGGAGGTGAGTGAGGGGGAGAGTGAGGGGGAGAGTGAGGGGGAGAGTGAGGAGGGAGTGAGGGGGAGAGTGAGGAGGGAGTGAGGAGGGAGTGAGGGGGAGAGTGAGGGGGAGAGTGAGGAGGGAGTGAGGAGGGAGTGAGGGGGAGAGTGAGGAGGGAGTGAGGGGGAGAGTGAGGAGGAGAGTGAGGAGGGAGTGAGGAGGGAGTGAGGGGGAGAGTGAGGGGGAGAGTGAGGGGGGAGTGAGGAGGGAGTGAGGGGGAGAGTGAGGGGGAGAGTGAGGGGGAGAGTGAGGGGGAGAGTGAGGAGGGAGTGAGGAGGGAGTGAGGGGGAGAGTGAGGAGGAGAGTGAGGAGGGAGTGAGGGGGAGTGAGGGGAGAGTGAGGAGGGGAGTGAGGAGGGAGTGAGGGGGAGAGTGAAGGGGAGAGTGAGGAGGATAGTGAGGAGGAGAGTGAGGAGGGAGTGAGGGGGAGAGTGAGGGGAGAGTGAGGGGGGGAGTGAGGGGAGAGTGAGGGGGAGAGTGAGGGGGAGAGTGAGGGGGAGAGTGAGGGGGAGAGTGAGGAGGGAGTGAGGGGGGAGTGAGGGGGAGAGTGAGGGGAGAGTGAGGGGGAGAGTGAGGAGGGAGTGAGGGGGAGAGTGAGGGGGAGAGTGAGGGGGAGAGTGAGGGGGGAGTGAGGAGGGAGTGAGGAGGGAGTGAGGAGGAGAGTGAGGGGGAGAGTGAGGAGGGAGTGAGGAGGAGAGTGAGGGGGAGAGTGAGGAGGAGAGTGAGGGGGAGAGTGAGGAGGAGAGTGAGGGGGAGAGTGAGGAGGGAGTGAGGGGAGAGTGAGGGGAGAGTGAGGAGGAGAGTGAGGGGGAGAGTGAGGAGGAGAGGGAGGGGGAGAGTGAGGAGGGAGTGAGGAGGAGAGTGAGGGGGAGAGTGAGGAGGGAGTGAGGGGGAGAGTGAGGGGGAGAGTGAGGAGGGAGTGAGGGGGAGAGTGAGGGGGAGAGTGAGGGGGAGAGTGAGGAGGGAGTGAGGAGGGAGTGAGGGGGAGAGTGAGGGGGAGAGTGAGGAGGGAGGGAGGGGGAGAGTGAGGGGGAGAGTGAGGAGGGAGTGAGGAGGGAGTGAGGGGAGAGTGAGGGGAGAGTGAGGGGGAGAGTGAGGAGGAGAGTGAGGGGGAGAGTGAGGAGGGAGTGAGGGGAGAGTGAGGGGGAGAGTGAGGGGGAGTGAGGAGGGAGTGAGGGGGAGAGTGGGGGGAGAGTGAGGGGGAGAGTGAGGGGGAGAGTGAGGAGGGAGTGAGGAGGAGAGTGAGGGGGAGAGTGAGGGGGAGAGTGAGGAGGGAGTGAGGGGGAGAGTGAGGGGAGAGTGAGGGGGAGAGTGAGGAGGGAGTGAGGGGGAGAGTGAGGGGGAGAGTGAGGAGGAGAGTGAGGGGGAGAGTGAGGAGGGAGTGAGGGGAGAGTGAGGGGAGAGTGAGGGGGAGAGTGAGGAGGGAGTGAGGGGGAGAGTGAGGGGGAGAGTGAGGGGGAGAGTGAGGGGGAGAGTGAGGAGGAGAGTGAGGGGGAGAGAGAGGAGGGAGTGAGGGGGAGAGTGAGGGGAGAGTGAGGGGGAGAGTGAGGAGGGAGTGAGGGGGAGAGTGAGGGGGAGAGTGAGGGGGAGAGTAAGGAGGGAGTGAGGAGGAGAGGGAGGGGAGAGTGAGGAGGGAGTGAGGGGGAGAGTGAGGGGAAGAGTGAGGAGGAGAGTGAGGGGGAGAGTGAGGAGGGAGTGAGGGGGAGAGTGAGGAGGGAGGGAGGGGGAGAGTGAGGGGGAGAGTGAGGGGGAGAGTGAGGAGGGAGTGAGGGGGGAGTGAGGGGGAGAGTGAGGAGGGAGTGAGGGGAGAGTGAGGGGGAGAGTGAGGAGGAGAGTGAGGGGGAGAGTGAGGAGGGAGTGAGGGGAGAGTGAGGGGGAGAGTGAGGGGGGGAGTGAGGGGAGAGTGAGGGGGAGAGTGAGGAGGGAGTGAGGGGGAGAGTGAGGAGGAGAGTGAGGGGGAGAGTGAGGGGGAGAGTGAGGAGGGAGTGAGGGGGAGAGTGAGGGGGAGTGAGGAGGAGAGTGAGGGGGAGAGTGAGGGGAGAGTGAGGAGGGAGTGAGGAGGAGAGTGAGGGGGAGAGTGAGGAGGGAGTGAGGGGGAGAGTGAGGAGGGAGTGAGGGGGAGAGTGAGGGGGAGAGTGAGGGGGAGAGTGAGGGGGAGAGTGAGGAGGGAGTGAGGGGGAGAGTGGGGGGGGAGTGAGGGGGAGAGTGAGGAGGGAGTGAGGGGAGAGTGAGGGGGAGAGTGAGGAGGAGAGTGAGGGGGAGAGTGAGGGGGAGAGTGAGGGGGGAGTGAGGGGGAGAGTGAGGGGGAGAGGGAGGGGGAGAGTGAGGGGGGAGTGAGGGGGAGAGTGAGGGGGAGAGTGAGGGGGAGAGTGAGGAGGGAGTGAGGAGGAGAGTGAGGGGGAGAGTGAGGAGGAGAGTGAGGGGGAGAGTGAGGGGGAGAGTGAGGGGGAGAGTGAGGGGGAGAGTGAGGAGGAGAGTGAGGGGGAGAGTGAGGGGGAGAGTGGGGAGGGAGTGAGGGGGAGAGTGAGGGGGAGAGTGAGGGGGAGAGTGAGGAGGGAGTGAGGGGAGAGTGAGGAGGAGAGTGAGGGGGAGAGTGAGGGGGAGAGTGAGGGGGAGAGTGAGGGGGAGAGTGAGGAGGAGAGTGAGGAGGGGAGTGAGGAGGGAGTGAGGAGGAGAGTGAGGGGGAGAGTGAGGGGGAGAGTGAGGAGGAGAGTGAGGGGGAGAGTGAGGGGGAGAGTGAGGGGGAGAGTGAGGAGGAGAGTGAGGGGGAGAGTGAGGGGGAGAGGGAGGGGAGAGTGAGGAGGGAGTGAGGGGAGAGTGAGGAGGGAGTGAGGGGAGAGTGAGGGGGAGAGTGAGGAGGGAGTGAGGAGGAGAGTGAGGGGGAGAGTGAGGGGAGAGTGAGGGGGAGAGTGAGGAGGGAGTGAGGGGGAGAGTGAGGAGGGAGTGAGGGGAGAGTGAGGGGGAGAGTGAGGGGGAGAGTGAGGAGGGAGTGAGGGGGAGAGTGAGGGGAGAGTGAGGGGGGGAGTGAGGGGGAGAGTGAGGGGGAGAGTGAGGGGGAGAGTGAGGAGGGAGTGAGGGGGAGAGTGAGGGGGAGAGTGAGGGGGAGAGTGAGGAGGGAGTGAGGAGGAGAGTGAGGGGGAGAGTGAGGGGGAGAGTGAGGAGGAGAGTGAGGGGGAGAGTGAGGAGGGAGTGAGGGGAGAGTGAGGGGAGAGTGAGGAGGAGAGTGAGGAGGAGAGTGAGGAGGAGAGTGAGGGGGAGAGTGAGGGGGAGAGTGAGGGGGAGAGTGAGGAGGGAGTGAGGGGAGAGTGAGGGGGAGAGTGAGGAGGAGAGTGAGGGGGAGAGTGAGGAGGGAGTGAGGGGAGAGTGAGGGGAGAGTGAGGGGGAGAGTGAGGGGGAGAGTGAGGGGGGAGTGAGGGGGAGAGTGAGGGGGAGAGTGAGGAGGAGAGTGAGGGGGAGAGTGAGGGGGAGAGTGAGGAGGGAGTGAGGGGAGAGTGAGGGGGAGAGTGAGGAGGAGAGTGAGGGGGAGAGTGAGGAGGGAGTGAGGGGAGAGTGAGGGGGAGAGTGAGGAGGAGAGTGAGGGGGAGAGTGAGGAGGAGAGTGAGGGGGAGAGTGAGGAGGGAGTGAGGGGGAGAGTGAGGGGGAGAGTGAGGGGGAGAGTGAGGGGGAGAGTGAGGAGGGAGTGAGGGGGAGAGTGAGGGGGAGAGAGAGGAGGGAGTGAGGGGGAGAGTAAGGGGGAGAGTGAGGAGGAGAGGGAGGGGGAGTGAGGGGAGAGTGAGGGGGAGAGTGAGGGGGAGAGTGAGGGGGAGAGTGAGGGGGAGAGTGAGGAGGGAGTGAGGGGGAGAGTGAGGGGGAGAGTGAGGGGGAGAGTGAGGAGGAGAGTGAGGGGGAGAGTGAGGGGGAGAGTGAGGGGGAGAGCGAGGAGGGAATGATGGGGAGAGTGAGGGGGAGAGTGAGGAGGAGAGTGAGGGGGAGAGTGAGGAGGGAGTGAGGGGGAGAGTGAGGGGGGAGTGAGGGGAGAGTGAGGGGG